TTAACACGCTGATCTGAGGTATGCTCTCAGAGGACCAGGCGACACTCTGCTCCTCCTGGTCCTGAACATTTTAAGAACTCGGAGGAAGAAGCGTCCTGATCGTCGGCCTCGGTCCTCGTTGAAGTCTTGGAGCTGGATGTTCAGATTTCTCACCGCTGCCTCCACAAACCAGTCGCTCTGGAGCAGGGCGGAGGAGATGGGTCCCAGCTCTTCCCGCAGACTTCTAGCCGCCTCTTTAGCTTTAGTTTTGAGGTCCTTGGTCTTTAAGTCTGTTCCTTGGGGCATGGAGACTCTTCGCTCCACCTCATGCAGTCGCAAAATGACTTTTCCTTGTTCCCTAATGTCCAGGGACACGGGGGATTTGTCCAAGAGCTTTTGGATCATCGCTGAAACCATGAAGTGAGCGGCATCGGAGCTGACGTCCTCTGTCTCTGGTGGGACGGTTTTCTCTGGGGGACTGACAGTTTCTGAAGGACTGTTAAAGTCCTGGAGGTTTGGGGTTTCTGGAGCAGGAGGTTCTTGGGTAACCTCAGGTGGGTTACGGTCCTGCACCAGACTCTCAAGGTCAAGAGAAGAGATGAGGTCCAGGGACGAAGAAAGATCTACTGGACTGTCCTGCTCCGGAGAAGTCTGAGCCACAGTGCAGAGGGTCTGGACTAGATCCTCAGAGAAAGGCACCTCTGTGATTGGATTGTCTATGATTGGTTCCTCTGTGATTGGATTGTCTATGATTGGTTCCTCTGTGATTGGATTCTCTATGATTGGTTCCTCTGTGATTGGCTCCTCAGGGACAGGCAGCTCTGTGATTGGCTCCACGGGGACAGGCACCTCTGTGATTGGCTCCTCGGGGACAGGCACCTCTGTGATTGGCTCATTTTGGACAGGTACCGCTGTGATTGGCTCTTCCGGAACGAAATCCTCAGAGACAGGCTCCTCCAGGATTAGTTCCTCAGGGACAGGCACCTCTCTGATTGGCTCCTCGGGGACAGGCACCTCTGTGATTGGCACCTCTGGGACAGGCACCTCGGGGACACAACCCTCAGAAAGAGGTTCCTCTAGGATTGGGTTCTCCGGGATTGATTGCTCTAGTCTGGGATCCTCTATGATTGGTTCCTCAGAGCCAGAAACCTTTGGGATTGCCTCCTTTTTTATTGCCTCCCCTTTGATTGGCTCCTCTAGGATTCGTTGCTCAGAAATAGGGACCTCTATGATTGGTTCCTCAGAGATAGAGACCTCTTTGATCAGCTCCTCTTTGATTGGCTCCTCTTTGATTTGCTCCTCTTTGATTAACTCCACTAGGATTGGCTTCTCAGAGACAGGCATCTCTGAGATGGTTTCCTCTCGGGCCGGTGGGGACACCTCTCTCTGTGATGCAGGTGTGTCCTTCTGGGCTGGTGTGACAGTATCTTTAAACTTCTGCCGGGCCTCGAGCTTCTCTGTCTCTCGCAGTTTGAAGACCCTCTGCTGGAAGAGGAGCTCCTCGGAGGGGGACAGCTTAGGGTTGTCCAGCTCCATCTGCTCTTTGAACCCCATCATGTGCAGCATCGCCTCTGCTGCCTCCAGCTTGGCCGTCTTCTTGTTTGGACCCAGGCCTTGACATGTCCTCTTGTCCACGCTGACCTCTATACAGAACTCTGACGCACGGTAGCCACGGTGTTGGAAGCCGACCACCCTGTACTCGGCCGGCCTCTGCTTCCGCACCATCAGGATCTCTGCCAGGGCACTGATGGGGTCTTTCTTGTAGAAGAAGTAGACCCGCTGTGAGGGGTCCACCAGCTCCATGTGTGGTTTGGACCAGTATGGAGTCACGTCCTCTGGCAAAGGACGCTTCCTCAGCTGATGCAAAACCACCTTAGCTGCGCCTAGCTTGGCGTTTTGTTTGGTGGGGCCTGAACCAAATCCCACCAGGTCCCCTACTCTCAGCTGTATGTGGAAAGTCGGTGCATGGCAAGGGCCTTCTTTTCCCATCTCATTAAACTGCAGCTGCAGGTGGTGCAGTAATGCCAGTTCGTACAGGAGGGACAGGTCGGTCTTGTGGACTTCACTGGGGAGTCCAAGCTGCATGTTGTCTGTGTTTGTGTTTGCTTCGGTTCCTATAATGTGGTCAAATAATACACTGCTGTCGGACAGGCCTGTTTACGTCTTCCTGACGTAACCTTTTACAGCAGACATTCTAGAATGACTTCATAAAGGCCAGCTGGGTTGCCATGACAACATAGCAAGGCATGTTGTCATGACGACGTGAGGCCTGTGCACAGAGGGACTTATCTTTGAAAATGTCCTGTTGTTTTAATCCTGTATAATTTGAAATCACATGGTTGTTTCTGTAATAAACTAATAATAATATTTATTTTGTTGCCGGGCGTGACTTGAGAACTCTGCCGCCGCTGGAGCTCTCGCAGGACAGTCTGTGTGCAGGACATTCACGTGAGCGCCCCCTGCAGGTTCTGCTGTGACATTCAACAGGTCTCAGCGCAGTCAGAGGTCTGGACGAACATCACGTTTCATTGATTTCATCCAAGTCTCAACAAATGAGCAAAGTATCATCAACAAAAGAGTGTAATGTTGAACATGGAATAGTTTAAACGACACGGTTAACCGGTTTCAACTGGCTAATGAGGCTCGGTGGTCGGTCATGAAAATTCATAGTTTTTTACATCCCTCCTCCAGAGTTCATCCTCTTTTTGATTATCTATGATTGACTGAATCCTTTATATCAAGGATAAAACAATAACAATTTAAATGTATCACCAACTTGTGCTATCCTAAACATTATAGTAAACAATAAATATGAATCAATAAATTACATATTTTCTACAATAAAGTTACGCTCTTATAAGAAAAACATTTTATCTTTACTGATCTTTGGCTCAGTAGGTTTCTCACAGTTCACAAAGTCCTCACAAATCAAAGAGTTTATCAGTATTTTGACCTGGGTTTAAGTTCAATAGTTTTGACTCTGATAGAGACCAGAGAGAGAGACCATAAAGAGACCAGAGAGAGACCAGAGAGAGATCAGAGAGACACCAGAGAGAGACCAGAGAGAGAGACCATAAAGAGACCAGAGAGACAATGACACACAAAAGAAACGTTATTACACAAAGGTCTTTCCTAAAACTAAACCTAATTCCAAAAGGTTTTCTCCTCAAACACTCAAACTCACTGGACACATCATCCCAAACCTGGACACGAAGCTGAACGTTGTGGACGGTCTTTGTGCAAGACCTCAAGGTTGGCACGCTAACCACAATATGCCGCGTTTACGCCGGACGCGAAACACACACATCAGGTCTGAGTGAGATATTAGGACCAACAACACACACAGCGCTATATAAAACCGATGCATTAATGTATGTATTGACTGTTTGTTTCAAAGTTAAAGAAAAATAAAACAGTATATAATAAATAAATTAGGAAGTTTGAGCTTGTGGAGTTTGTTTTAAAATCCTTTACCACCGGTGAGTCTGGAGGGGATGAACGAAGCACTTTGGGTGTCACCGATGGCATTCATCCATGTTTCTTCCTCTGTTCCACCTTTTTGAGCCCTGTTTTCATTCAATCAAAATGACTTTCCTTTTACACAGTGTCCCAATTCTTCTGAACGTTCTGGTTGTAAAAGAAAAACAAAAAAGTCTACTGTACCCTGGTGGTATAATATATCCAGCAAAAGCAGCACAAACATCGAATTGTCCCTTTGCCCGAGTCCACGGCCGTTAAATGTGTGATAGAGGTGCGGTGGCCCTGGCTTTAGCAGACTACAAAGGCACTCTCTGTTTCACTGCTTTAGCGCATGCACACCAATGATTACCCATAGTGCCCTAGTGTGTGTTCGGCTTGGTGTGGAGAGGACCAGCGGGAGGCGGTGGATGTGAATCTTTGTATTTTGCATTCAAACGATACCGAGGTGCACCAGTGGTATACTAGTAACGCGGAACAACAATGCGTCCGCTTCTCCATTTGATCTGCTTCCCAGTCGAGAGGAGCGTCCCCGCAGCCTTCGCAAACTCCACTGCAGTTCAGTCCCCCAAAATAAATTAGAGAAACAGATTGGAAATTACCCATGCTACTATACATGATGGAACATTCCGCAAACAAAGGAAAAACATTTGCGGATTTTGGGTGCATTTTTATTAGACTGCATGAATGTAACAGTTGGATTAAGAATTTGAAACAGTTGTTTTCTGCTTTACAATTGTTTTGTTGTTGTTGTTGTTGCTATCAGTACTTTTAGCTTCAGAGAGCCCCAGACACATGGAGTGAAGGAGCCTCTTTGATGAAGGCACATGCAGCGGGAGATCCACCTCGATCATAGAGAGAACCTGTATGAGACTGGCTAGGCCACTCCACGACTTTCAAATGCTTCTTACGGAGCCACTCCTTCGTTGCCCAGGCGGTGTGTTTGGGATCCTTTCTGAGTGGAGTTTGCATGTTCTCCCCGTGTCTGCGTAGGTTTCCTCCGGGTACTCCGGTTTCCCCTACCACTAAAAATATGTACAATAGGTCTGGCATGCGCCTCCTGTTCGGCGACCCCGCTCCCATCTCTGTGTGGAGTGAGAGGCCAAATGCCCAAAAAAATAATAACAATTGTAAACCGCTTTGTGACCCTTGTCTGTGAAAGGCGGTATATAAATAAACATTACTTACTTACTTACTTACTACAGTGTCACGTTTCTTCTTCAAAGCTCTCACTGATGGACGGAGGTTTTGGCTCAAAATCTCACGATACGTGGCCCCATTCATTCTTTCCTCAACACGGATCAGTCGTCCTGTCCCCTTAGCAGAAAAACAGCCCCAAAGCATCACGTTTCCACCCCCATGCTTCACAGTAGGTACTGTATGGTGTTCTTGGGATGCAACTCAGTATCCAAACATGACGAGTTGAGTTTATACCAAACAGTTGTACTTTGGTTTCATCTGACCACATGACATTCTCCCAATCCTCTGCTGTATCATCCATGTGCTCTCTGGCAAACTTCAGACGGGCCTGGACATTCACTGGCTTCAGCAGGGGGACACGTCTGGCACTGCAGGATTTGATTCCCTGTCGTTGTAGTGTGTTACTGATGGTAACCTTTGTTACTCTCTGCAGGTCATTCACCAGGTCCCCCCGTGTGGTTCTGGGATTTTTGATCACCGTTCTAATGATCATTTTGACCCCACGGGATGAGATCTTGCGATCGAGGGAGATTATCAGTGGTATTGTGTGTCTTCCATTTTCTGATAAGTAAGTAAGTAAGTAATCTTTATTCATATACCGCCTTTTCACTGCACAACGGAGTCTCAAAGCGGTTTACAGTTGTTATTTTTGGGAGTGGGGGTGCCAGTACAGGAGGCACATGCCAGACCTATTGTACATATTTTTAGTGGTAGGGGAAACCGGAGCACCCGGAGGAAACCGGAGCACCCGGAGGAAACCTACGCAGACACGGGAGGACATGCAAACTCCACTTAGAAAGGCCCTGGTCCAACCGGGATTCGAACCCAGGACCTTCTTGCTGAGAGGCGAGAGTGCTATCCACTCAGCCACCGTGCCGCTCCCACGGTTGATTTGTTCACACCAAGCTGCTTGTCTATTGTAGATTCACTCTTCCCAGTCTGGTGCAGGTCTACAGTTCTTTTCCTGGTGTCCTTTGACAGCTCTTTGGTCTTGGCCATA